GGTTTACTAAAAATTGTAGATGCTTCATCTTCCTTATATGTGCAGTACCCCCTGTGTACATTTCTTGTGTTTGATTCTAGACAGCATGCACTCCCTGTTGCATGGGTCATCACTCGCAGCTTTGCAAAATCAGATGTATCCAAATGGATGAAGGCCTTACTTGATCGTGCTCATTCTGTAGAGCCCGGATGGAAAGTTAGTGGGTTTTTAATTGACGACGCAGCCACAGAGATTGATCCTATCACGTAGGTTGACCAATCTCTCTGTTTTTTTCCCTTCCTCAACTCTGTATAGTTTAAACATAGTTATAATTAACATTGACTCATTTTTCAGGGACATATTCTGTTGTCCTGTGCTTTTTTCCCTTTGGCGCATTCGTAGATCATGGCTAAAAAATGTTGTTAGGAAATGCAGTAGCATTGAAGTTCAGAGGGAAATGTTCAAACGGCTGGGAAAATTAGTGCACAGCATTTGGGACGGAGTCAATACTTCAGTTGTCTTGGAAGATTTTATCCGTGATTTCATTGACCAAACTGCTTTCATGGAATATTTCAAGGGTTGTTGGGTGCCAAAGATTGGTTAGACTTCTTCTATTTCAATCTATCTCTGCTCTCAAACCTTTCTAGTGTGCTATATATTTTAACAATCGAAAGGATTGCACATGTTTAGCCTTATATAGACTTCGCCCTAAATTTTCTTTTTGTTAATCTTTTTCTACTGTTACAGAGATGTGGCTTTCTGCGATGAGAGCTTTTCCACTTGCAAGCCAAGAGGCATCTGGTGCTATTGAAGCCTATCACATGAAACTGAAGGTAAAACTGTTTGATGACTCTCATCTTGGTGCTTTCCAGAGGGTGGACTGGTTGGTTCACAAGTTGACCACTGAATTGCATTCAACCTACTGGCTAGATCGATACGCCGATGAAAGTGATTCATTTCAAAATGTCAAGGAGGAGTATATTTCTTCTACTTCTTGGCACCGTGCACTGCAAATTCTAGATTCTTCAGTTTCCTTGGATGAGGAAAATCACCTTTTTGCCAAAGTTCTGAGCCAAAAGGACAGCAGTGTTTCACATATAGTTTGGAATCCAGGGTCCGAATTCTCATTTTGCGATTGTTCTTGGTCATTGCAAGGAAATCTTTGCAAACATGTGATCAAGGTGAATATGATATGTGAAAATCGCCCGAGTTACAAACCTTCCATGTCTTTTCAATCATTTGAGGAAATACTGATGAATATGTGGAAGCTACCAATGGATGATTCTGTTGCCTTGGATGTGTCAATGGCTTGGACCCATCAGATCCTTGATGAAATTCAGAAACTAGTTGAATTGAATTCTTCAAATGATATTAGCTCTGTGGTAAATAAGCTGCCCTTGAAATGGGCCTCTGGAAAGGGAAGAACCAGTTGTAGGAAACCATCATCAACCGTGGCTTTTCCCTTGGAATCCAATATTGTCAAAAAGGCCATGCCAAAGAAGAGCCGGAAAAGAAAAAGATTGTCAATAATAAGATAAACTGCTCACTTGTTCGCTGTTGTATTCCCATCTGGATTTGAAGTACTTTGATTTCGACACTCTGACTCGTATGATGATGTTAGATCTGGTGGCTTATGGAGTGAAAAGCACAGATTACAACTAGCACGTGTTATGGTGCGGATATGTCCACACAGAAGCATAGCTTGAGTCTTGTCGTTGAGGTTAGACTTTCATTGTAATGGCTCAAGCCCACTGCTAGCAGATATTGTCCTCTTTGGGCTTTCTCTTTTAGGTCTTCCCTCAAGATTTTTAAAACGCGTTTGCTAGGAAGAGGTTTCCACCAAAGAGGACATGTATGTTAGCGGTAGACTTGGGCTGTTATATTAATTTATTCTAAAAGCATTCAAAATTCTTCTTGGCCTTCTGTATTTTGCTTACATAACGTATGTTTCATCCTTTTCAGGTCCTTAAGAATTTACCAGGGATCATTGCAGGAATATGTATATAGAAAAACATTTTAATATGATCATTTTAGGTAGTAGGTAGAGCATGAGTAGAAGTTCATTCTTTTTTAGCTCTGATAAAGTGATCATATGTATACTCTGTCATCACTGTTCATAATCGTGTTTGCTTATTATGACTGCTGAATTCAAGCAATTTTATTGAAGCTAAGTGGAAGCTGAATTTGAAGGGCAAGGTATAAATGATGATCTTTTGTTTCTTGAACTTATTTGGTGCACATTTTACTACTTAAAAATATTTGTTTCTTTAATATTTGAAAAGTCTATGAATCTATAAAATTTGATTGGATAATCTATTTGATATTTTTCCTTATAGCCTAAGTTTGGTTCAATTAATCTTTTTTTTTAAAGAAAATTGTATTAGTTTACGGTCAAATATTGCTTGTTTTGATCTGTATATATCACCATCAACCGCATGATTTTAAAATGCATCTACTAGGAAGAGGCACACCGCCCGATGATGTCTGGCTCTAATATCATTTGTGGCCATTCATGGTCATTGCTAGCTAGCAATATATTGTCTATTCTTATCTGTTACTTATTATTGTCAGCCCCATGATTTTAAAGTGCTGAAGAGAGTTTCAAATCGAATAAAATTTAAAGATTAGAATAATAATATTTACTGAAAATGAAATACATTGAAAGGAATTGGAATTATAGTATAGCGGATTTTAAATAATAAAATTCAGTCCGAAGTGGAAGTGGAATTATAAGATGAACTGTGGGTCCAGAATTGAAGCTCGCCACACACATTTCCATGTCCGAAGCCCTAATCACAGCCATGGTTTGCCAATTGGGAGTGAGGAAATCTCACCTTATCCACACTCTTACCACAGTCCCTTATCCAATTCCATCTCATAGATCCCTTTCTTTTTCTTTTTTTCTTTTTTTATCAGTTTCCCTCGTAATCTCATTACCCCATTAACAACTGACCGCCATTAATTCCAACTTTGATTTTGTCTAAGTAGTTGCAGAGACCTACGCAGCAAGCAATGGCGACCATGAATTCCAGTGTTCTGGCCTGCAACTACGCCATATTAGGCGCGGGATCGGCCGACCTGAGCTCTAAAATCAACGCCGCCCCTTCTGTTGCATCTCCTGGGGTTGTGGGTTACAAGTTGCCTGCGATTAGGGCTCAACAGGCTAGGGTTCCTGAAGCCAAGAATGACGGAAGGAGGTCTGCGCTTCTTTACCTTGGTGCCACCCTCTTTGCTGCGGCTGCGGCTGCCTCCAACTCTGCTAATGCTGGAGTCATTGATGAGTACCTTGAGAAGAGTAAAGCTAACAAGGTAGCTACCTATTATGCTGACCAAACCATGCATAAGAGTTCAATTTGCTTTTATCTAATGCCCTGTTTCGATTCTTTGAGTTAGCTAAAATGATAAAAATGTTTTTGGTTCTTGATTCTTTGACTCTGCACAAAAATGTATATGGTTCTTGTTGTTGCTGGATTTCCATAGTTTATGAAACAGAAGTCATATCTTAAACTAGAAGTAGGGAGTCCAAGATTTATGCTGAAAGTTGAAAGTTGTTGTACCTGCCCAAGTCCATCAACCGATGTTGTTTCTTTAAGCTTTTCTTTTTGGATTAATATCGGCTAGCAATGAGCTTAGACTCTCTAACGCTCGCTCAAGTTTAAAGTTGAACACTAATATAGAATGGGAAAGGATCAAAGTAAAGGGGCTGAATTAGGATTCAGCTGCAAATTCTATGATGTTTCTAAGCATATTATTGCAACAGGAATTGAATGACAAGAAAAGATTGGCCACAAGTGGGGCAAACTTTGCAAGGGCATACACCGTTCAATTTGGAACATGCAAGTTCCCAGAGAACTTCACAGGGTGCCAAGATCTTGCTAAACAAAAGGTTTGAACATTGCTTAGTTTTAATCACTATTGCCTTTGAAATGCTGACAATATGTGATGAGTTTCTGCTGAGTAGCTAAGTTAGTTCTTTGTTCTGTTGTTGATGGCTGCAGAAAGTTCCATTTATCTCTGATGATTTGGAATTGGAGTGTGAGGGGAAGGACAAGTACAAGTGTGGTTCCAATGTCTTCTGGAAATGGTGAAGGGAAGGGAAGAAACCATTTCAAGTCTTTGTATCTAATTCTCAACTTGTGTGAAGTTTTATGCGTTCGATTCTGCGATTTAAAGTTTAATCTTTTGATCGAAAATATAATGTCTTTAACTAGTTGAGTGATGTTCAAATTCTAATAACGAGTTAATCTTGAAAGTTGGAAATGAGTTTGTTGAATAAGAGTTTTGACCAATCACAAATCATAACATTTCTCAAATTCATAAAGAATATTCCATTATTAAATTTGAGACAGTTGCAATTGACACGTGTCTCAAATTAAAATTGAAGATAAAATAAGCCTAATAAAAAAAGCTCATCTAAGGGTAAATTGGCTTGAAGCTTGAGGGGTTAAGCTCAAAACTAATAATACTCGAGTCAACTAGGTTGAGGCGGAGTCTACTAAGTTCAATCACACATTACCTACATGGAAAGCCCGATGAATAAAGTAGCTTTCCTTCGTTTCGAACCATAACACTTAGAATACTTCTATAACTTTACAAGACTAGACCAAGAATGCTCTCACGATCAAAAGACTTAAAAGACGGTCTCAAGATCGAATCTTCAACTAGCTCAACAAGCTAAAAACACATTCAACACCAAGGCTACAATAAGTACTTCAATCCTTGAGTAAAACATATTTCAAGAGAACCTCATGTGAATGGTGAATTTTTCTTTGTAGGTACATTTTTACAAAATAATTTGTGAGATCTCATATCGGTTGAGGAGTATAACGAAACATTTTTTTAAGAGTTTGAAAACCACCCTCTATCCGGTGGGAAGCTCGAAAGGAAAAACATAAAGAAATAATGCTAACAAACTCTAGATTCCGAAGAGGGTAAATTGGAGGGTCCCACGTTGATGGGAGGGAGGAAGTAGTAACAACTCGGTTAAAAAATTTATGCTGTGGATATGTGGTTTATCATTTTAGCGTTATCTCTGTTGAACTACCCATCGAGTGAGGGACATTTCTATAGCTCACACACTAATCTCTATCCTTTTTCCGCCATGGCTTTCTCTGCATCTCTTTCGCACAACTCTTTCTCATGCCTCACTCAGTTCCCGCAAAGTTTTAGAAGAAACCCACTTCGTTTTAATCCCATTCGAGCCCTAAAATCCACTGATCCGGAGAATAAGGCATCGGAGACCAAAACCCAGCAGCCCCCCATGGCTGAACCTTCAACTTCAAGCTCCCCCGCCGCCTCTCCCAAGGTTCTAAAGAAGCCCGTCTATTCGAGTGAGTTTCTTCTGCTATTCTGCTGCCCTCGTTCTTGAACTTGACGATTCATTTTAGATTTGTTGATTTCCTTCTTTTTTTTTTATGTGATTTCTGTAGTGAAGAAGGGTCAGATTGTGCGAGTTGATAAAGAGAAGTATCTTAATAGCGTTAATGTAAGTAGTTTTCTGGAATCGTTTTTGTGGTAATTAGTGGTAATTAGTAGGGCGGTTAGCCTCGTAATTTTAAAATGAGTCTTTTAGAGAAAGGTTTATACACCCTTAAATGTTTCGTTTCACTCTCTGACCAATGTGAGATCTCACAATTTACCTCCCTTGGGGGCTAACGTTCTCGTTAGCACACCGTCAAGTGATTGGCTCTTATTCCATTTGTAACAGTCTTGGCCTGTTACGTATCGCTATCAGACTCACGATCTTAAAACGTGTCTGTTAGAGAAAGATTTCCACACAATTATAAAGAGTATTTCGTTTCTCTCTCCAACTGACATGGAATCTCACAATTCATCCCCCTTGAGGGTCAGCGCCCTTGCTGGCACACCACTCAGTGTTTGGCTCTGATACCATTTGTAACCGTCCAACCCCACTACGATCAGATATTATTTGTTTTGGCCCGTTACATATCAACGTCAACTTCACAATTATAAAACGCATAGTGCTTCGTTCCCATCTCCATTTGATGTTGGATCTCACAATTCACCCTCCTTGGGGGCCAGCATCCTTGCTGGCACACCGTCTAATGACGGGCTCTTATGCCATTTGTAACATTCCTCTGCTAGCAGATATTGTCTGTTTTAACTCGTTACATATCGCTATCAACCTCACGGCTTTAAAATGTGTGTATTAGAGAGCTTTTTCCACACCCTTATAAAACGTATTTCGTTTCCGATATAGATCTCACCCAATAGTCCTATGATGACCTGACCTTTGTGCTCAATTATTATGGTTAAGATTGGGGCAATGGGAAACTGTCTGCTCAACTCTTTTTAATATTGCCACCACCATAAAATTTTAAAACACGAACATAATGTTAAAAGGAATGGAATTTGACATGTCTTCTCATTTCTCCCATTGATTATTGGACTGATGACAATATTTTCTTCTTCTTTACCACTAGTATCTATCTGTTGGGCATCCACCTTATTACAAGGGCTTGGATTATATTTACGAAGACCGTGGCGAGGTCAGTTTACACGGATTACACACGAACGTGCTAAAATATACGAGGGACTTCTAACAAGTCGATTTTCTTTTCAGGTATTAGATATTCGCATTTTCGAGACGGGGGAGTATGCACTTGTGAGTAACTTTGATTTGGGATCCATTTGTATATGATGCTTTGGCTTCCATCTTATGTCAAGTTCTTTCATTTCTGCTATATATTTGTAGTGTTACATTCTTACACAAAATTCTTGGACAGATTGCATGGGTTGGTGTCCCAACTGCACCAGCATGGCTGCCGACTGACATGCTTATAAAGGTATTTATTCAAAAGCTGTTCTTGATATCTTGTTCATTAACTCGTCACCAAGCAAGTTTCGAATAAGCAAGACTATATATTTAAACATTAAAATCGTAGAGACCTATCCCGAATGGGGAGGAGATTTCTCGTTTAGACAAGGAATGGAGGAAGGAGTGAGGAATATTTTATCCTCGTTGGATAAACGGGGCCGAAAACGAGATTATATTCCCCATCCTACCCCGTGGACATCTCTACTCCCTATGACTTTTCTTTGATCTTCTTTCCTGTTTATTTTCCTATTTACTTCCTTTGCTAACCATTTGTTGCATATATTATGATGCCTTCTCTCTTTTCTGGCAGTCGGAGAAACTCAACTACGAAAGACTGTAATCACAGCTTTGAATCAAGGATGCCTCAAAGGTTTATTCCTCATGTTTCTGTAAAGATTTGTAGTTAAAACTACATATTTTACACATATATTGATCTATAGAAACCTCCTGAATAGATATCTGTTTTGAATGCCTGATCCAAGTTGATGATAGCAGAGCTACTAAACTGAGTATTACATATACAGACCACCGTCACTTTACAAGGACCAAAAAGATATCTCTAACCAATTACATCATATCATTACCCCACTTGCAAAATTTTCACAATTGTTACATAATGGATAAAATCACACCTGGGGCTGTCAGGAAGATGATTTTCTTCCTTGTTTTTAAAGAAAAGTTCAGTCATAGAGGGCTTATTGGTGATCCGCCGTGAGTCCGAACTTTCAATAGTAATGACTCTCGTGATGGATCGAGGGTGAACAATGTGTTCGGTCTTGTGTTATATGCATATTCGTTTAAATTGTATCCGCTTTGACCCAACCCCATGTAAGATGTGTGTGGTGGTGAAAGATAACAGCTCTGGTGTGCGGGGCCATACGACCGTAATGGACTTGAACTAGGAGAGACAGGCAAGGATGTGATCAATCTTGCGTTTCCCCTGCACGTAGAGCGAGCGAGTGCATTGGTCTCGAAGTGAGTATATAGAATTAGACAAAGAGGAGATTGTGAAGAAATGATGTTTTAGTACCTAGGACTCCTCGAAGTTCTCGAAGAGATTGTTGGGTTCGTCGCATAATCTCCATCGCATATGCTTATACTTTTTCGGTTTGGATGCCGATCTAACAATGGCTGCATATAAAGTGGCAAAGGTTTCAACTTCATGGCCAACTTTTTCCAGGTGATTCTAAGTTTAAAAGGCTTACCGGAGTCTGGCTTCCATCGAAACTAAACAGGAATGCATCCATGGACAAGTTAACATCGGACGCTCTTGGTGTTACTGCATCTTGAACAAAAGGGTGATCCAGTAGTTCTGCAGCCGAAGGACGTGCAGCCGGGTCCCGTTGCAAGCATAATTGCACGAAACTTTTAGCATCGTTCGAGAGATGGTCTGGAATTTCTGGAATGTCTTTACTATTCCCAATTTTGAAAATTGCAGCCACCTGTTAATGTAAAGATATAAGATAAGTATGGCCCCAGACAATATAACATGAGGAGCTAATGAAGAATTTGAGAGCAATATCTAAGGAAGATGTCAAACCCCTTCGTATTTGCTCCAAGGCGGTTTGGACGTTGCCATTTCAAGAACAGTGCACCCTAAACTCCAAATGTCTACAGCAAGACTGTAGCCATTTGTATTCATTACAACCTGAGATTCCACGACGAGAAACAACTGTAAGGACGGATACAGCGCAGGTGCACAACTAAGAGAAAAGCGTTCGATACAAAACAGAAGAATGTGGAGGAACATTTGTTTTCATAAACTCGATGACAAAAGATTCGTTCTTCCTTTTCATTTATTCTTCTTTAGCACTCGCCTTTTGTTTAAAGCGGGGGGAGTGGAAGAAAGTGATAGAAAGTACCTCGGGGGCCATCCAATAAGGACTACCTTTGAAGGAGAGCATCGAAGTACAATTCGTAATCTGATTCGAACCAAAAAGCAAAGCATTTAAAAACGTGGATCAGTTAAAGACGATAAGGAAAAAACGACACTTTTAAGTGTTCGGGGGAAGAGTTAATACACATACATGTTTAGCCATGCCAAAGTCCACCAACTTGACCTGGCCGTTCGGATCGACTAAGATATTTGCCCCTTTTATGTCCCTGCCATGAGAAGTATATTCCATGAATGTTCAAAAGTAAAATAGGAAGTACCCTTTAGTATGAAAACAAGATTCCTGAGCAGTATTTACAACCAAATACCTATGCACTGTGTTTCTCCCGTGCAGATAAGCAAGCCCGGAAAGGATCTTTCGGGTATAGTTTCTTACGACAGGTTCTTTGAAGGCACCGTATTCCTGAAGTAACTTGTGAATTGAGCCACCAGAGACGTATTCTAAATAGACCGAGAGGGACTCATCACCCTGATATTTGTAAGATTATAAACGTTAGAATTACAATGAGTCAGAAGCTTTGTTCACAGTGACGATGTTTGGATGCGACAATTGTACTTACCATTTCACTACCATAGTACTGGACGATGTTTGGATGCGACAGCTGACTGAGCACGGTAATCTCCTGTTAGACAGAGTGATTGGTTAGAATTACAACCAACCATCAAAATGGTAGCCTTTAAACCCATAAAAACTTTCAAAACGCAATGTACTCGAGCCAGAATAAGAATTACCTGGTTCAATTGCTTGAGACATTCCTTCGACGTCGAATCATCGCTTATAACCCTGACCTCCTTGATTGCACACATTTGGCCACTTACACTGCAATGAATCCAAGAAAATGGGTTACAGAAGTAATCATAAAGACAAATATGGTGCCATCTTTGAGATGCTAACAGGGAGATCAACTCCCAAGTAGCACAAGAAACTAGATCGAGTATCTTGGTCAATCATTATTCGAACACTATACGTTCCGAGGAACGAGTTTAAATTGCATCCCAAAATAGAAAATATAGTTTCAATGCATCCATTACTGTGAGAACATGAAAACATCCTAATCAAAATCACCATTACCTGTTAAATCCAAGGTAAACGTGCCCAAACGTTCCCCTTCCTAGAAGCCTTCCTTTCTTCCACTTCGGTTGTGTAGCAACATTGTTATCGCCGATATTGATAGCTCTCGTGCTGGTCAAGGAAGACGGGCTGGTGGGAGAACTTGGAGGTAGCGGCAGCTTGTGACATCGATTCATCCCGTCATCTAGCTTGCCTGTAGGAGACTCCAAACTCATGCCACAGAACCGCGGGTTGAGAGGCGATGTAGGACTGGTGGGTCCTCTTGATCCTGGACCTGGACTTCTTGGCCTTTTCTCTGGTCTTGTATCAGCAAATCCTCTGAATCAAATTTCAAACACAGTGGACTAAATTTCCAAATGCATTTCAGAGACAAAGCTGATAGCCATTACTTCTAATCTCTCACCCATGGGAGTATTAGCTCATTCAGAAACAACAACAAGCTGAAGCCCAGCTTTTCGTGACATGTTTAAAACATAAACTAGTTCATATCATACCAGCATTAAGCAACGGAGCTAAACAAGAAACAGAACAAAGATATCAAAACACAGTAATAAACCAGAAGGCCCAGTTTCAGAAATCAAAGCAGGTAAAGAGATATTAAGATCCCAACAGGGCCAAAAAGATTGCAAAATTGGTTGTATACTCCATGTTCTTCAGCAGAAGACTACAGAAACAGGGGAATTAAGCCCTTCAGTTTCACGATAACTCACAAACTCAAAAAATTCACAAAACCCCAATATCAGAACAACACAAACAAGCAACGATCGGAGTCAGAAACCTTCGAAACTGGAAACCCACCTGAGACCTCCAAATTGAAGGTGTTCTTGAGCAGATGGATGATCATCGGAAGAGCCAGAGGAGCTAACACTTGAAACCGAAACAGACCCAGATCCATTCCCGACTCCATGATCAATCCCAAGGCCGGAAGTAGTAGGTCGAGGAAGAGGAACACTGGTATCTCCACTATCGGAGTCAAAACCGGAAAACTCAAAAGAGGCGGCACCAGAAGTGCCCAGATCCCTGCTAGACCTGGGGGAATTGCGAGAGAAAATCCCAGGAGAGACCTCATCGAAGCTCCTGGGTTTGTCGCTGGCGTTCTTAGGTTCAGTTTTGGGGGAAGAAGAAGAAGAAGAAGAGTTGAAGAAGTTGAGAAAGGTAGTGGGATGATTGTGATGGTCCTTGTTTTTACTCGATTTTCTTCCCCACCAAGCCGGCATGGTAGAGAAGAGAGGGAAATCAGCAAACCCCAGAAAGAATCAGAGAGAGGAATTGAAAAGGGAGGGAGGGTTCGAGGAAAATCAAAGAAGCAAGAGGAGAATATGAAAAGGGTTTAAAGAGAGGAAGAAAACTCGAAGAAGAAATTGAGATCAGAGGGGAGGAGGACGTCAGACGGTGGTTGGATAAAGTGGTGGGGGGAAAGGACGTGGCAACTTCATAGGGGGGCTTTTTAGAGAGAGAAACACAGGGTTTGCTTTGGTTACTGGGCTAGTGAGAGAAACAATGGTAAAGCGTGTGCGATCTGTAAACGAAGAAAAGGGTATCCTTTTCAATTGATTTCCGTGTAACCCAGTTGGCTGTTTTTGGTGGCGCCCACTAAGAACCTTCTTCTTCCTTCCTTTTCCCCTTCTTTCACACGCAGACCAGACACCAACCAAATTTGCCTTTTTTTTCTCTAAGGATTGAGTAGAAATTAAAATTAGATAATATGATAAAATTTATAATTTAATACATTTAAAAATATAATTTTAGGGAGGGGTATTAGAAGTACCTAATAATTTTGTTTTTAGCACATTATGATTTATTAAAAATAAGATATTTAATCTCTATAATTATAATAAAAAAATTCAAATAGGCGAAAAAACTAAAAAATCATTTAAATTTGGAAGCTTATTATTAAATAATACTATATTACGTCATACATATAATTAAATATTGAAAAATTAATATTCGTTTAATGTTATATTTTAAGATTGTTGTGGTTATTTGTTATTTTATAGAATGGTATTAATAAATTAGAATATAATTTGTAAATTTTAAATTAATTTTTAGTCATTTTAATTTTAATTTTCAACTTCCATTAAATTTCTTTTCGAGTATTTTTTATTTTGTTAACAAAAAAAATCGAAATTTAAGGCTTCTAGTTGCTCATACTATATGGTTAACAAAAATTTAGAGAAACATGTCGGGATTATCAAAATGTGTTGTCATTTTGTATATATAAATGTCATTTCAATTATAATTTTTTAACCATAACAAAAAAAAAAATCAAATAATTAATATGTAAGAATAGCAATTATAAATAATTGAAAGGGTAATAACGTTTAGGGTAAAACTTTTGTAAATAATAAAAGACTTTTAGATTGCAATCTTTAAAAAGGCAATAAATAACTTTAAAAGGACTCATGAAAAGTTGACTTTTTGACATGAAAAAGTTATTTTTTTAAATAAAAAAAAAAAGAATGTTGACAAAAATGGGAGAGTAAACATATGAGTTAATGTCAACAGCACTATTCATATTATTCATATTGAAATCTCCTAAATCATAAATATTATAGATTATATTTTACATTTAAATCTATTTTATTATTCTCTAAAAAAAAATAAAGTTCATAAAAAAAAATAAATATAAACTTAAAAGGTCTCTCTATTTTTATAATTAAAAAAAACATATAAGTTTTATAATTGTCTCTATAATTATTTAACTTTCTCTAAAAAAAAAATTAATAATTTATATAGAGATTATTAGGGTCAAATAAAAATAATTACAAAATAAATAAATAAACGTGATTTCTATAAATTAATAATAAAAAAAAAGAAAAGAAAATATATTATGGAATAAATTCCAATTTAACATGATTTGATTTTGAATTTATAGCCATCCCAATTATTTATTTTGTAAAAATAAATATAATAAAATAAAGATATAAAAAAAGATTAAAAAAAAGTGGGTTAGAATAAAAGAATTAAAAAAAGTTTGAATGAGTCAAAATTGGAGAGGAGACCTCTCGGGATCCCAGTCAGACCCATTTCAACACCTCGTCTTCCACGTGGCATTTTTTTTTTTTTTTTAAACTTCCTTTTAATGCCACATTTTACTTAATAAATAAATAAATAATGGTTAAATTCATAAAAAATAACTTTTATAAAATATAATATAGGTTCCACATGGTAAAAATATTTATTCCCTACTTTTTAAGTTAAATGTTATTATTGAAACTTAATTTATAGATATTTTTATTGTAAATAATTTTAAAATCTAATATATATAATTTTAATCTAATTTGTAAGGTTATTGTTTTTTCCATGTCTAGATTGATAGTTATAGTTATAAAATGTAAACCGAACTACAATATAATAAATTTTTTATAAATATGATAAATAAAAATATTTTTGTCAATAATATATATCTTAATTAGTCGAAAATTTATTTAATTTTTTTTAGTTTTTAAAGATTTGTTATTTGAATAATGGTAGAATATAATTAAAAATTAAAATTCCCAAATAACACTTTGTATCTCATGCCTAAACAATGGGCATTATATTTAATAATTATAATATATAGCAACAAATTATAATATTTTTGGTTATCTATTATAACTGCCTTTTCCACTAATTATTGATGCATGGAATCTTTTTATTTATTTATTTATTTATTTATTGCTAGATTATTGGATTTGGATACTATCTTGTTGTTTTTTTTTCAAGATTATTTTTAAATTATTACTATAAGAGTGGTAAAAATCATAATAAAAAAATAATATAATTTTAGAAAATAGAAAATAAAAAATAAAATTACTATTCTATCAAATCTTAATTTTGTATTAATATTAAATTCGAGAAAATTTTAATAATCAACATAATTTCATTTATATCCCTAATATTTTAAAATTTTCTTAATTTAAACATAATTTAAAATATAAAATAAAAATGAATAAGTACTATTGTAAAATAACTAAGATAAGCAAATAAAAAAAAGGATAAACTACTCATATACATTTAACTTATATACTGAAAAATAAAATAATGGAAATCAGTGTAATCATTGAATGTGACCATTATTATAATTATTGTAAATATAAAAATCTTTATTATATATATATATATATATATGTATGTATGTATTGAAATAATTTATGATAATATTGCTAAATATGCAATGACGTCACTCTCAGTGGGTCCCACCACAAAGGGTTATTGTTATAATATTATTGGTTTTTGGTGGATTAGGTTGTGGCCCAAAAATGGTTAAATTCATACCACATGGTGTGAACACGCAGCCGCCACCTCCAAATTCCCCCTTTTTTTTTCTTTTTTTTTTTCCTTCATATTTTCATAATAATAATTGTTATTACTATCAAGTATCATCATCTTTATTATTAAAATCAACTCTCATAAACAGCCAAAAATTAATAATAAAATAAAATATTTTTAGAGTATAGAATTATCTAACACATTTAACGTGAAAAATAGAATATTTTGACAAATATCAATATATGAAAAAAGCGATTGATATCGTTAAAGTAGGTGTCGGGAGGAATTGAAATTTTTTATACTAGATTACATGGGAGATAGAGAGAGACCCTTCTTTTTCTAGTCTAATAACGTGTAGAAATTGAAAGATTCAGTTATTTTATCTCTTAGTCGAAAATATATATTTATATCAGTTGAATTATGTTCAAGTTGAAGATTCAATAAGAAACTTATAGTTCACAGATATGCACTACGTAGCTTGGTCGAGAATATAAATATATACTAGTTGAACTATATTTAAGTTTACGACTCAATAAGAAACAGGTCATAGATATGCACTACGTAGCTTAGTCGAGAATATATATCTATACCTATATTTAAGTTGAAGATTCAATAAGAAATTTACATGTCATAGATATGCCCTACGTAGCTTAGTCGAGAATATATATCTAAATTAGTTGAACTATGTTTAAGTTTACGACTCAGTAAGAAACTTCCATGTCATAGATATGCGCTATTTAGCTTGGTCGAGAAATATGAGGGGTAAAAATGAGTATTATGAAAAATCTACCCTAAGAATTTCATTAGCACTGTGCTTAAGAACATAATTCCCAGAGAGTGACAAACAAGTGGGAAATCAGTACAAGCTTTCGTAAATTTTAAAGTTGTCTGTTTGCTCTAAAAGCTGTTACAACAATCCTATTGTTAACTTTCAGGTTTACACAACTATTTCACTGGTGTTATATAGCTCAAGAAAGTGGTGCAGGGAGAGCTACCTGGATTCAATGGAGTAGGTCTCAGAGCCTCTAAGGAATGAACGGCGCCACCATATTTGGAACGACTTGCTAAGATTCGGACACTCGGTACCGTGCTTCGAGAAGAACCGACACCAGTCCATGAATAGCAAATGCTGCTGCCTCATAGGCAGAGTAAGCAGAGCCTGACCCATGGCTTCCTCCAGCAGTTTCATATCCAGTCCTTTTTTGCAGCGCTGTAGCCAGCTGAAGTCTAGTAGCATTGGACCGAACCATGACTGTAGTAGTCCCAACCTTGATTCGGAACGACAGTTCATTTTTCTCATCCCTATTGCGATGAATAAGTTAGCTGAAACCCGACTGAGTTCGTATCTAACCATAGGTGAAGTGATCTCGTGCATCCGAATCAGTTCTTTCTGATCTGCCCATATATTGACAGATTCTTCAGCCATTTGCCAATCAAGTAAAATTTCAAGCAGCCAGTTGATGGTATCTACCTCGATTGACATTTGTTCGATTAACGGCTTCTCAGTTATATTCTTAACGAATCTTCGGGGGCAGATCGTGTCCGAGGATCCCTTCAAAAGGCTGACTAATGAAGCTATACAAGTATGGAAAACTACATAAAGGTCCTCTTTACTGAGGCCCAGATGATCTTTCTCATAAACTGAGCTCTTGCAGAGAAGTCCCTTGACTAAAGACTTGAGTTCATTTCTTGCAATGGAGTTAGTACAAGTGGAAATAGACCAAACGAGCTGTCTGGCTATACTTTGATGTGAAGTTACCGAGTCGAGCAAGCGTAGTCTAGCCATGACATCTCTACTTGTTGCATCGTCAAACTCGACTTTTATAAACAGATTCCTTAGTTTCTCTTCTTCCTCCTCGGTCCAAGGCACGGCCTCTAAGTACTTTAAACATGAAGCGACGCACTTCGTGAACATGATACTTGCAGATATCTATGTGATAAAAGATACTCATTGTTAGTGCATGGAACACATCGATCATGCTCGATCTAGATAATCACTACTACATTAAGAGAATTGCAATTGATCTTCGTAAAGCGTTCTTTAGAGGCAGAGTTAGCATCAGTTCAGGAAATGTAAGTTCGGGAGAAGGTTCTGGTAAGCTCGTCAGGTGGTGGCATAAGTTGTTTTCTAGAGATTTTATAGCTTTTTGGGTCAAATGCTGGACGGGGTGTATGTCTTAAGCATTTCTAAGAAATTTGTTCCGCTGCTTCGTAGAACATATAGTTAGAACTTGGTCGGCTAGTTCTTACAAGTTCGAGTTGTTGTGAAGTTTATCTCTGTATCCTCCTCATCCACTTCACTTTCCCATGTTCTAAGAAGACTTGTCACACCTCTAGCTATTTTCTTTTAAGCAACACTCCTTTTTTTTTCACTGAATTATTAAGAGTCTGTTGCTGCAACGGTCCAATCCCACCGCTAGCAGATATTGTCTTCTTTGGACTTTCCCTTCCGGGCTTTCCCTTAAGGTTTTAAAATGCATATGCTAGGGGAGAGGTTTCCACACTCTTATAAAGAATGTTTCGTTCTCATCTCCAACTTATGTGGGATCTCACAATCCACCACCCTTGGAGCCCAGTATCCTCGTTGGCACACCGCCTGGTGTTTGGCTTTGATATCATTTGTAACTGTCCAAGTCCATCACTAATAGATATTGTCCTCTTTGGCTTTTCCCTTCCAAGCTTCCCCTCAAGGTTTTTTAGATGCGTCTACTAGGGTGAGGTTTCCACACTCTTATAAAGAATGTTTCGTTTTTCGCCCTAACCGATATGGGATCTCACAGTTACACAAGCTATTCTTTATCAAATCGAAGAACTCGTGTCTCTTCTTTGGGCTTTTCCTTCGGGGCTTCCCCTCAAGGTTATTAAAACACGTCTGTTAGAAAGAGATTTTCACACCCATATAAAGAATGTTTCGTTCTCATCCCTAACTGATGCGATATCTCACAATTACACAAGCTCTTCGATTCCAAATATTTCATTCAACTTTCTACAGTTAAGCATGGTTCAACCTAAGGATTTTCTCAATCAGATACTACATTTTCTGTGAAAAAAAGGTATTCAGTTTCACACAGTGTTGTTCTTGCCAGTGTCTCAACTTTTGGGGTTAAACATAAACAGCTGATAAGAAAAACAAATGCATAACAAATTTGCAATCAAATTATAAACCAAAAAGGAAAACAAAAACAATACCATCAAGATCAATGTTCTAACCTCAAGTATGTCGATGGACCGATAGACGCCAATCTTCGAGAGGCGTTTTGAAATATCATCCTCAAACATAAGCTCCATGGTCTCCCTGAATATCCCCAAATTCTCCACCTCAGGAACTTCGATTCTACACAGCTTTGAACGCGAAGGACTGCCATTTGATGCTGAATCCTTCTTATGTTTCAGAATCAGCTCAGAAAAAACCTCTGAATTAGCACACAGTGCTTCTGAATTCACCTCCAAAACCATGCATCCACCGTTCTTTGCCCTCAAATTCAACCTCACATCAAAGATATCCTTCTTATTACACTCAACAACTGAACCAGAGCGCGACAAGCCGGCTGGAGGATCCCGATACTTTTCCTTCGGGGAACGAAAGCTCTCGACTCGTGGTTGGACGAGGGAATCGACGACTGCGGAGTTTTCAGTGCCCATTTGTTGCGCCAATGTTTCAACATTCTGGTCGGAGTCGATCGGCGAAACTCTGCCGGGAGACAAGATCCTTCTTGGGTCAATCCGACCGACTAAACTCAACCCGGATTTAGAGCTCTGAGGGGAATTGGGAACAGAAGCGCTAGGTTTGACCACATTTTCGGACTTGTTGCGAGGGGTTTTGAACCGAGAAACCACAAAATTATCGGGACTGGAAGGCGGCACAGCAAATGAACAACACCAAGATCTCCGACGCGAACGAGGGTCCAAAAACGAACCGGTTTTTCGCCGGGAAGAATCCTCCATGGAAAGAGCGAGATCGGCGGCGAAAACCCAAATGGGAAATGCAAAGAGAAGAACCAGAAGAAGAAGATGAATGACCAAAGGTAGACGTTTGTTTAGCCCTTTTTTGTCCTCGTTAAGCTCTCATGAAAGCTTTGGGAATGGCTAAATTTGGAGGTTTGTTCGGGTATGTTAGTTTAATGGCGGATTACAAACACAGGCGGAGACCCAGATGTTAGAACACAATTTCGAATTTTGATTCAGTCTTCATCGGATTCCCAAGAAAAATGCTTTTTTTTTTCTTTTTTTCTGAAGAGCAATGATTTTCTTTTTTTCTTTTTTTTCCGAAACTCAAAAGCAATGATTTTTGTGTTTGGATATTCAAACCCCCAGAACAAAAGGTCTCTTTTTAAAAAAAACAAAAAAAATTAAATAATAATAATGGTTCTTCCCAAATGAACACGCTTTAATTAATATTAATAATTTGGGGATATTGATTTCTTATTTATTCCTTTTGAGTTTCGGGTCAAACAATTATGAACAAAAAGGGTCTAAAATGGTCACATTATAAAATTATGACTAAAATGAACAGAATCAAAAGAAACTCAAATGAAACCGGAACCGAAACCGGAACCGAAACCGAAACCGAGTTCGGTGGTAATAAACAGAGGATACCATAAGAACTCCCAGATGAAGCAGTGTGTCTAAAACACTTAACAAACATGCAGTAAGAAGAGCAAGTTCCATTCAAGAGGGAGAACCAAACCTTTACTTACCCCTGTAGAGCAGAGACTGATCATCCTTTTCTTAAACAAGAATATCTGCCACACAATCACTAATTCAGTCTGTTCATTTGATACCTTAAACTACTCAGAACACAATAAATTTATTCACGAACTGCCACAGTAAACCCCTGCACTAAAATTCTTCACTGTGGATAAATATCAAGTTACAGTAACAGCGTCGCCACAAGGTTCGTAGTTATCCAGAAACCTGCATCATGGTGTTGTACATTAGGTTGCATTTACACATTCATTCTCAGAACAGATTGTCATTGCATTAGTGCAAATGGCATTGAATTGGGATGAATATTTTATGGAATACCTCAGGGGAGGTTAGCATCATGATCCAGTCGGGGAGGTTTATAGCCATTGGATCCCCCATTTGAATTGGAATGAATATTTTCCTGAAACATTCATATATTCAGGTTAAGTGTTGATAGATGTTCATAAAAAGAAACAATAATTAAAGAGTGGTTTGAACAGTTTCACCGATTCTGTACCTGGCTGGAAGCAGACATGTTTGCATCAGGGTATCCAAGATCAGTGGGGTGACATATTTGATCACTGGAATGATGCAGAGAAGGATACTGACATGAAGGAACATGCTGATTGGCAGTTCCGAAGGAACTAAAATGGAAACACGGCTGTTCTATAACGCTAGAACAATTGTACGCAGCATTAGACATTTGCGTGTCTCGGTAAGTATCACTCAATGGAGCGTTAAGATCATTCAGCTCCAAGTATGGCATTTGGTCTGAACTAAACATTGCTTCGTAGTAAATTGGAAACATTTGTTCAGGACTATAAATCGCTCCATTGCCAGTAAGATAAGCATTACCATCTTCAGTGATGTTAGCATTCAATTGAGACCGAGCGCCTAGGTCTCCTAAACCTTCATATGTTGGATCATTTTGATCTGTATGTTTTGAAGCAGGAACAGTCGCCTGTAAACCACAACATGTGTTCAACAGTTGGGAGATATCCCTCAAGAGTAAACCTCATCAATAACAGATTGAAATCAAGTCACACCATGAAAGCACAAGATCATATCAATAAATTGCAAAAAGAACTGCCAAGGCCCATGACTAACTACACAAAAAGGGATTCCATCCAAAAAGAGACGACACCTAAGGGATAATTTCAGGAGAGAAAAGGCTTAGACGAATAGGATTGCCATCTTATTGCTTCAAATACTGCAATAAGATGTACCAGCTGCAAAAATTAAATGGTTTCACACAACCATGTACCAGATGCCATTTCAAAGAAATAGAAAAACAGGTTTCTTGCTTGATAATGGAAGGATTTATTCAAAGCATTCCCAGGATAGCGAAATAAAATAGATGAATGAAGTCTGTGACCGTCTTGAAGATTCAACATTTTGAAATTAGATTTAAAACTATCCCATTATATAATTTACTTTTCATTATCTTAACTCACCTTGCTTTTCTTTAATCTCCCTCTTTTTCTCTCTTCAATTATTCCTCTCTATTCTACCTCTAGATTACAACTTTACAAATATAAGTTTATCTAATTGATTTTTCCTTATCACATGTACTACTACTCTTGATCTTTTATCATTGTTTCAAAACTATTTCTTGAAGTAGAAATTGTTAGAATGTTGGACGAAAATCGACACTTACTTGGATTAGTAGAATTCTACGTGTTTTGCTTGTGTTAGTTGTTGTGGATATTTTTCTGTTACTATGTTGTAAGGGATGCAAGAGAATGTCATAGTTATCAGGTGTTAAATCTTGATGTGAACCCGGAACATGAGGCGTTATATTAAGTCTAAAAGGATAGCATAATTTTCTTCTCCAATGGTAGTTTTAAAACGTTAATGATAGAATGTATGTATTTTTTTCAAATTAATGACAAAGTTGAGAGTATTTTTCTTTAGAATTGAGCCAAATCTTGGATTTGAATTTAGGTGGGCTTGAGACGTTGAACTCATGTTTGTGGAATGAATTTGGATGAGTTCATAGGTTTGAGCAGCAGTCCCTCCCTCCCACAGTTTTTCTTAAACCTCCCGAAACCATGTTTATTTAATTTCCAAGAATCTGAATGCAAATTTATTAACACTGCCAAAATCAAATCTCAAGAGTAGTAGGGACAACCGTTCAAAAAACTAAGAAACTTAATGATACCAAGAAGAAAATTTTAAAAATTCATTCATCATAGTCAAATCAACAAAGCATAGAAAAGGTAAAGCAGTGAAGTGCACCTGAAATCCATCATCAACCATCAAATTCAAGTTTCCATCTTCAGGGAAAAAATCTTCCACTGTAAATAAATCGTCAGCAGAATCCAGATTCTGAGGTATCTCCACTGGAGCAATACCCCCGGATCTGTTCTGAGGAATCTCCTTCGAAGTAGATGCCAAATTTTCAGAAATACAGGATGCTGAAGAACAGCCAAAAACATTACTTGGTGTCATAGAGGTGTCTGGAGCAAATGAATTTAATGGCTCTTTACTAGGTAGCATCGACAGGCTGGAGGAAAGATCAACTTCAAAAGAACCCATCTCCTCCACACCATCCTCTTCCCAATCTTCCACTTTAAATGGTGCTCCATACTGGGCACCATTCCTTGGGCCTGGACCATCCTTCTGAAATATTACGCAGAGAACATATGCATCCTGCCATGAACACATCATTACAATGGTATCACAGATATCAATCCCATTAATCTCCTTTGCAAAATAGTCTTCTCTATTTGTCAGTCATCGAAAGTTCAATTGTGGGAAAGGAGACGGTGGATTGGAACTATACGAGTATAGAGTCGAAGGAGATTAATTACCAACTTCTTATAACAAGAACCAAAACTTTTCATCGGAGAAATGAAAGGAGATTAATGCTCAAAAGATACAAACTCAACAAGTGAATCAAAGAAAAAAATAACAGCATTTCAATTGAAACAGATATCGTATGATGAAAAACTAGCAAAAGGCTTAGAAAGAGAACGCCAAGATGAGGCCTTTAATCTTGAAGTTTTACACCACTTATTAAAAATGTTTGCCATACTCCATGCAACAATTATGGTTAGAAGAAGTAACCAAGTATTACATATGTACTGCAAATTCAAAGTTTAACTTTAAACCACAACATCAACTCCGGAAGACTGAAACTACCATATGAAAGAAGAAAATTTCAAGGACATGGAATCATGGTTTCAATGATTACCTGAGAAACATTTTTTGACTGATACTTTTCTTCAAGTCTGTACTCGTGCATGACCCAGTCAGTTGGATCCCCTTTAGATGATTTACCACTAAAATATGTCAAAGTCTTAATACGCCCGACGTTTTTATTGTTGTGAGCTACATGCCTGTCCTTTCCAGTACTTTTCCAATACCCAAATTGTGTAGTACGACTCACTCGAGCCCCACTTGCACACTTTCTTTTTCTAGGACAAAAGAAGTACCATTTCAGATCTCTACTTTTCAAACAAGCTTTATCTGAAAAATAAACAAGGGTTCCAATTTCCGTAAGAAGCATATATAGTGGGGGATTATTAGCAACTATCAAATATGATCGATAAGTAAACGATGACAAGCCATAACAGAAAAAAATGAGCAAGTACCTGGAAGGTCCCAGGGCTCATATTTGTATACGTCCAACTCAGAAATGACTCCCTTAAGGAACTTCTGCCGCATCACTTTCTTCTTTAGATAGTACATTACCAACTCAACGTGAGTTGGATAAAACCGAAACCCGGGAGCTAGTGATATTGCCGTCATGATAAATTTAGGGACTGTACTATGTATCAACAACTTTCCCACTAGCAGGATGGAAATTTTCTTTTATCTCAATCAACTTGAAACGAATAGCTCTCAAAAAATGTTCTAAAAGAAGAAATATACCCAAGTGTTGAATCCAATTTTCAAATAGCTTCGCATACCCCCACCAAGGAAAAGAAGGGGGGAAAAGAGAGAAGAAGAATAAACGTCAAGTCCAGTGACGAAACAATACCTTCCACAAGCACCAGAATCCCCCCCGGTTCATGAAACAAAAATCAAACGGTCTAGATGAATTCTTCCTCTGGAGTTCAAAAGACATCGGTATGCTAGGAAAGCCCTGTTTTGAAGAGCATTAGACGCAGTGATGATATATTAGGCAACTTCACCTTAAAAAACATTTTCTTCACCAAACAAAAGTAGCATCGTTGAGCCAAATATTGAGTAAAGTTCAAGCACTCAATCAAGTGGTATTCATCCAAAACGATTGACAAATCACTACAAAACAGTTCCCATAGCAGATGAGGCAAAACAAAAACATCTCATCTTTCGGAAACAAATCAATCAAAGCAACCGAAAAACACCGTTTCTAAATAATAACATCGAACTAACAGCTGCAGAATAAATAACGAAATAATCCAACAACGATCAAAAGGGTACTAAGAAAATGCACAGAGTAATCCAGAGAAACCCTCGTTTACCAACAAAGTAGAAAGTTACCAACGAGGTCAACTCAAGAACAGAAGCAACGAAAACTCAGAAATCCCCATAGACGATCATAAACACCAATCACCACCGCCATGGAAAAAAAACGGGGGGGGTGGAGATAGAGAGAGAGAAGGGGGAAGAGATCAGCAGATTTTGAGAGAAAGACCCCAGAAACCGTACCGGATTTGCGAGGAAGAGAGCGGGGGAGAAGCGGAGGTGGCAAGTGGATGAGAGAGAGAGAGATGGGGAAGGGGCGATGAAGCTTGAGGACTTCGGAAGTGGAGTCAATGAAAGGCTTACATAGAAGAAAATTGCAGCACGGTGCCTTGTTGAGAAAGGAGGATGGGGGTATAGATGGAATTAAAGAAATATATGTCTTTTTTCCCTCCCAAATACTGTAATGTAAGCCTTTGTGGTGGTGTTTTTTTTTTTTTTCTCCCTTGAATTTCTAATCTAAATAAATAAAAAAAAATTATACTTTTATATCAATTTTATCCTAAAGTTTTAATTAGGGATGTTATGTCCCCGTTGAATGGGATTGAGACATTTTTTAGAATTAGCTGAATTATTTCGTTGTAAATTTTTTCAACCTAAATTCTTTTGAAAAAAAGTAGAAAGAAAAAAAAAATCCAAGAAAAATATAGCCGTGTTTGATTCCTTTCTAAACAATTATTTTCTTTTTCAATTGATATGAGAGAATTTCTTACTGATAAATAACATTGATCTTATATTGTTTTACTGATAAATCCCAAAGGAGAAATCAGCTATTTATTCAAATTTTTATTTTTAATAAAAATAAAATATTAATTCGTAGAGCACCTATTTATTTTTTTTCAAACATTAAATTAAATTTTACCACTCAATTATAATTTAAAAAATTAGTTTAAAAATTATCATAAAAGATAATAAATAATAAAAAAAAACAATTATAAAGTCAAATAAAAATAAAATAAATATGTGTACATATAATATTCTCATAAGTGAAAACATGTTTGTTCGATTCAACCCAATCTAATATTTACAAAACTCATGAATCAACTCAATCTATGAAGTTTTCATTTATTTCAATCCAACTCCACGAACTTACGAGTTTTTTGAGTCATCAAGTTTTTTTTAATATCCATACTTCTAGTTTTATCAAATTGTAGTCTAAATTTATAAGGTTGCAACTTTTACTCTGAGTTTTCATTGGAAATTTTGTACACATTCAATCAAAGCAGATGTGACACATTAAAAAATGAAGCAAAAATCTTCCATCATAATATCATAATAAAGAGGTAGAAACACCAAGCATTTATGCTATTGACATATAGATTATTAACAGTAGAATGTCACTTCCAATAAGATAAGGAGCCTTAAATAATAGCAGAGATCAATGCCACTAAAACTCATCATATATGATTTCATCAAATTATAGAATTTTCCACTGCGAGCAAATGGAATCGACAGCACAAGAAACAGACAATGATGCACTGAACAATTTTTTCTATCACAACCTCTTTGGTACAACAAGTGTTGTAGCACAGATGGGATCCAAACACCTCAAAAATGTAAACAAGATAAACTAAACCTTTATATAATGTGAGAGAGTTTCGTTATATCACCAAGATGTGCTAGCACTGATGCCTGTTGCTTGGGGTTAAGTACGCCTATGCGAGTTGCAATCATGATGTCATTAAGCATAGACAGTACGGGCAGCCATGCGAGTTCGAGGTCTGTCTTCTTCATTGAAACTGGAATTATTATGTACAGGGTATGCTTTTTTGGTATGAAAAGGGAAGCTGAATCTGCTCTCCCAGAAAGAAGCCAAGTTATGCACTAAATCTAATGAGAAAGTTGAAAATTAGTACTGCTCCAGCCGTTGATTAGCCCAGCAGTACTTTCCATCGGCTTCTAAAATCACAGATTCACCCCACTCATGTGGGCAAACAGCCCATGCACCAACAGCAAAGAATCTATTTTGACATCCAGGGAAACTTTGAAGCCACCCCAACAGAAACAAATTAGCCTTAAACCGCTAGTTGATTAAAGATGTAATCTCTCAACCAAAACAGTTTACTAGGCTGGCAGTCTCAAATGGTAAAACAAAGAAACCAATCTAACCTCATAATATTCCATTCAAAACTCTCTGATAGTAATCATACTGCCGGGTCCGCCATGCATCTAAGCTGCTACTGATAAGTGAAAGCACTAAGGAGACGCATTGCTGCATGAGAAAAAGTTTCACAGTTAGGATTCTATCAATGCGATATACAGTCACGCACGACAAGTATATTAATTAGAACCTCTTCGGTCAAACTGAGGTGAAATCGTTTTCTAAGATTCTGAATTGTTCGTGGACCACCTTTAAAGCATGGAAATCCAGAGTCCTGATTCCAATGTGGAGAAAACAAACGAGTTAACAATCTGACTCTGAAAAAGGAAAACAAAAAAGAGAGTACAAGAAACAAAGGAATGGATATCAAGTGCATTTCTATTGTATTTCAACAAAGATGAAACAAGAAATAATAACTAATCAAGAAACTGAAAAAGGAAAACAAAAAATATTAACTAATGTGACCACAATTTCTTCGCAAGGGTGAATAGAATTCTGGACTACCTCCACAGCATAGAAAGATTCAGCAGACAATTCAATAAGTTAACAAGAAATAATGATTTCAATTTTTATTAACTGAAGCTTCAGTTCAGTGTAGAGATCAATTTTGGGCATAAGTGGAACAAATAAACAATTCTACCTGCAACATCTCAACAAGAAGAATAACACATTCTGCATGTTTACGGCATGTGAGAAATCCCTGAATGCATAAAACCTGGTTTTCAAGGGCAAAAGCAGCAACAAATTTAGACCAGTGTTGCAGAAAGATGTGAAGAATATCGAGGTCTCACGACAAAAGAAGGGTTTATGAGTACTTTAAAATAATCAAAAAACTCGCTTGGAACCCCTTCAGCATCAGAATCCATGACCTAGCATCAATATTGCAATTATTTGACAATTAAAAATGCAATAATCGGAATAATCATGGGATGTCAAATAATCAAAAAAAAAAAAAAAAAAAAAAAAAAAAAAAAAAAAAAAAAAAAAAAAAAAAAAAAAAAAAAAAAAAAAGAAGAATGGAAGACGCGTGTAGGTTGCCACCCACAAATGTCTCGTACAAAAGTGAACATACCTCTAGAAGCTCTCGGGTTAATTTGAAAGGAGCACTTTCAAAATTTACCCCGCCAGGTGAGTTAGAGAGCATGAAGCCAAAGTCAATATGTATTATATGACCCTCCTCATCCAATAGCAAATTTCCATTGTGCCGATCTTTAACCTGGTAAATACAGTAGGAAAAACCAATAAAAGGACTTAACAAAGACAACTTATTATAGAAGCATGAACTCTTATCTAGTCTCTAGCTAATAATGAAATAATTTAAATGATTGAATATAAAAGACAAATAATATTTGCGTCAGCCCCTTCCACTAGTTCTTTTCAAATGCCTGTAGTGGTTCTGAAAAATACTGAGTTGAAACAACACAGTTACAATACTAGTATCAGTATAATACCTGCAGAAGGTAGCAGAAGAGGGAATATCCAGCCATACTTTCCACAAAATTTCTCTGTACAGTATTTGAACAAGAATGAAACAAATCACAACAGAGGTGAAAAAATAAAAAGGGAAAATCAGGTATACTGAGTCTTTATCCATCTCAAATATTTGATTATCAATAAAATATTTTATGTATAATTTTGAACTTCAATTATGTAGGCTAATAGTGTTTTGGATAAAATACAAGAAAACATCCCCATTTTCTTCTAGTAGTGTTATATCAGATATTCATTCAGTTCTACCATTAAATGGGAAAGCCTCAAAAAGAAGATATGCTTCCACTAGTAAAAAAGAAGTAACAATACTATTAGTTGCTGCCGTTTCCAGCTTTGCAGCTAACGAACGTGGGAATGAGTTCGCTCCTATGAGGGACATTTGTCTTTCCCACCCCACCCTATCTCTAAAAGACGGATCAATTTCAATCTAATCATATAAGAAAAAAAAAAACAATATAGAATTACAATTTCAACTGATGAATGCAATATAAGCTAAATATTCCAGCAATGTGTACATACATGCATACATATTCTATATATATGTATGTATGTGTGTGTGTGTGTATATATATATACATATATATTAGATGTTAAGAGATCTCAGTCCAAAAGGAAAGCCTAGGTTCTTCAGATTCTTGGGACACGATTCTTTTTGTAGAAAGGAATTGCAGAGAGAGGCTAACATTTTCAAAGATAATACGCATTTCCCTTTAAAGTCAAATTCTTCTTATGGGAACTTTAGTTACGAAAAAAGTCGACTATCTTCGAAGATAAAAAATTAATCTTCCACTTATCCAACCTAATGTTGATTTTATTCTTATCTAGAATAGAATCCCTGAGAGAAGACTTCAACAGATTTAGACAAGATAACATTCAAATCTGACACCTACTCAAAGTCCTGATTGAGTTGAAAAAATTGTCCATTCATGTTTCATCCAACACCCAAAGATGGAAGCATCATATTAGCAAATGCAACAGAAACATAGAATTTGATTCGTCCAGTTTTTTAACCTTCAATAAAACCATCCTCTATACCCCAGGGAATTGAAATTTTCAAAAATTGGAAAGAAGGAAAACTATAAGTCTAAAGAGAGAGCTTTCCGGGGAATCCTAAATGTACAATATCAAGAAACTGCAATTAGAAGGAAAAAAGGGTACCTGAGCAAGTTTAAAACTTGGAGAGTTTTCTTCATATTTGGCAACAAAGAAGTCACGCAAACTAGTGATGCCAGGATATCTACTTTTGATAGAATGAAGTGAAGCCTGTAAGAGGAATAGTGGTGATCTGTATAGTTTTCATTTTCTTTTTCGATGTCAACTTAAACTAAATAAATAGTATAAGATTACCGTATCTGGAATTGTCTCAATAAGAGCTGTGTAAGAAGAAGTAACTAATACTTCATAGGGTCGTAACCAGAGAGGAAGACCAGCTTCTTGAAATATGTCTGGTCACAAGCAATATGACAAAACAAAGATGTCAAAACCAAAATAATTCACAGACGCTCAAGAAATTTGAAATATATTATTATTAACATTCTTGCGACTGAGACAAGTGAGTAGAGTTAATTTTGGCCTCTTCCAGACATTTTAAGGACATGATGAGAAGGAGCTTGATAATCCCCCTTTAGTAATAGGCTTCAGACTTCAGATTCTTTGGCAAATAGCAGTCCTTATTTTTACAATTTATAGCTCAAAAGAAAGAGTACAATTTTAAGGCCTGAAAATGAGGGTTTAGAATGAAGCGCATCTCAATGCCACTCTCTGG